ACAGGGAGACGCTCAGAGAGGCTTTCAGTTTCATTTCACAGGAACAGCTTTGCTTCTGTTTTACATGCAGGTGCTGCACAGAACACACCCTGTTCAACCTGTTTGTGTGACTGACTGCAGCTCAGATAAGAGGCTGGATCAGCTGATTCAACTGGTCCGCAGGCTGCATCATTTTCATCTCTGCAAACACCAAACAGTCCTGTACACAGTGTGTTTAGTTCTCTGAGTGTGTTATTTGTCAGTAATTGTGTTAAAAGGCTCTGAGTTTAAGTTGTAAACAATCTCAAACCCTGGATTTATCTCCACCATGTAAGCTGCTGACATCCACCTAGCTGCTGTTGAACCATGATTTGGACATATGGTACTCTAAGGTCAATGAAATAAGATAGGCCTGATTAAAGTTCTTCTATGTGAGGAGCAGGATTTTAAATTGTGGATTTAACAGGAAGCCGATGAGGAGAAGCCAGAATAGGAGGAAGCTGCTCTGTCCTTCTAGTCCCTGTCAGGACTCGACTGCAGCATTTTGCATCAGCTGAAGGTTTTATGGGAGTTTTTAAGACAACCTGATAATAACCGATTACACATTATCTGTGAAATGTTCACACTTGTTGCTGCTTCCTGTCTGTGTGTTTCTTCCAGACAAACGTTAGGAAGCTGATTCTCACGCAGGTCACAGATCCACACTCTCAACCCACTGTGGACTGTCCCACATCTCGGAAAATGTTAGAGCACTTTTGCAAATCTGTGATGTCTTGATAAATCGAGTAGATATTTGAAGTTTACACAGCTACGTTCAGAAAGAATATTTTAAACTGTGCATCCCTCCGAAACTGCCTCTTACGTTTTCGACGAAATGCATTCTGGGATATTTGCCTGGGTTAGCCTTCAGTAGCTTACTGGGGTCATGGAGAGAATGTGTTAATAAAACTGAGTGGTGGGATTTATAACTATGGACACTATGTGCTGACATGACCTTTTATAAATTTACTGTCCAATCACAAACCTTTAATGGGAGGAAAGAATTTGATTGGACAGTGAGGGTCATGTCCTCATCGAGGATAGAGCGCGCAAGAGTGGACTATTATATTGATTAGTCAAATCTCATTAGGCAATAAAACAACTATGGTCAGAAGAGAATGTATTCATTAAAAAATAAATAGAATTTACAAATAAAATAGTTCCATTAAAAATTATGAGAAAGAGGAAATGAAAACAAAACGTTCATCACTTTGTTCAGAAGGATAAGAAAACAACCTCTGAGTGCTACCTGCTTTAGTTCCATCCAAGATGTACTTGTTGAGCCTTTCTGAGAAATGATCCATGTGATTGATTAATTATGCCTGCAGAGACCAAAAGAGGCCCCAAGAGTCTGGCTGCAGCCACTGGGGGGCGCCATATTGCGACTCGCTCAGACACATGAAAAATTAGAGGGAACATTGCCCGGCAGCCTACGTCTATTGCAGCATAACTAAGGGAGGATTCAGGGTCACCTGGTCCAGCCCTAACTATATGCTTTAGCAAAAAGGAAAGTTTTAAGCCTAATCTTAAAAGTAGAGATAGTGTCTGTCTCCTGAATCCAAACTGGAAGCTGGTTCCACAGAAGAGGGGCCTGAAAACTGAAGGCTCTGCCTCCCATTCTACTTTTAAATACTCTGGGAACAACAAGTAGGCCTGCAGAGCGAGAGCGAAGTGCTCTAATAGGGTGATATGGTACTACAAGGTCATTAAGATAAGATGGGGCCTGATTATTTAAGACCTTGTATGTGAGGAGCAGGATTGTAGTTTGTTTTCATTTTGCCTCTGTCAGTGCGCCCCAGGGCCGCTGTGGCTACAATGTATGTCTGCTTTGCCATCACCAGTGTGTGAATGGGTGGATGACTGAATATAGTGTAAAGCACTTTGGGGTCCATAGGGACTAGTAAAGCGTTATATAAAATTCAGGCCATTTACCGTTTATGTAAACACCAAACAAAGTCCTGCACACAGTGAGTTTAGTGCACTGGGTGTGTTATCTGTTAGTAATCGTGTTGAACATTATAAAAGTGTCACAAAAGGTTGATTCTGTTTATCTGGACGCATTCAATTGGAGAAATGCTTTGTCACTCTTCCAAGTGATTTCTTCAGTTCCATTCGATTCCTTCTTGTGGGACATGCATGGAACAATTCACCCAGGAAGCATCCTCGTCAGATGCCCAAACCACCTCAACTGATTTCTTTCGATGTGAAGGAGCAGCAGCTCTACCCTGAGCCCCTCCAATAGCCAAACTGCTCACCCTATCTCTAAGGCAGAGGCCAACCACTCTTTGGAGGAAGCCCATTTCTGCCACTTCTATCCACAATCTCAATCGCTATCCGAAAGAATAATGATCATTGATCAATGACCACTTAATCAGTGGCCATGTGTACCATTAACAGAGAGAGTTGTGGAATAGCTGCAATCACAGCAGTGTAAAATCAACAAATCAGTTTATTTCTAAGCTCAGTTGATCTGACTGAGTGATCTGAGTGAGCTCAGCCTTCACTTTCTACAGGGAGATGTTGTTTTCAGGCACAGAAGTAAAGACATGTTTACCCTCAGCATTCAGTTACAGAGGAAGACGTTGCTCTAAGGCACTTCAGAAACAGAGGTTTGTCTGTTATTGGAGGGACAAAAACAATGAGAAGAGAATTCAACAGGTACATGTAAATCTTTATTAACACTTACACACTTACATAGTGCTCATATTTCATTCAATCACAGAAGGAATTCACTGATTGTCATTGTCTTTAAAAAACAAACTCTTATAAGGCACACATGAACTGAGAAAAACCCCACAAACACCAAGAGGATGTTTCAAGAAGGCCACAGAGAGAACAGTACAGAAGTGGAGCAGTTCAGTGATGTAGGTGGAGGCGTCACACCATCAGGCCATGAAAATATGAACCATGATTTGAACCTGAAACAGTGCAGAAGCTCTAACAGTGGAGAGATGTTTGGAGTTAAAGCTTCGGTCAGACCAGAGATCAGAGCATCAGTTCATCACACTGCTGATTAAACACTGTCCTCACTGCTGTAATATTAATGCCACACTGTTGTTCTTTCATGTGCTGATGTGATGCACTCATGTTTATATGTTAGTGTTACTGACCATTAAGTTCTGTAGGAACCACACATTCACACACAGCACACACGGATAAATAAAAAACACCCGTTGATGTCTTTGGACTGTGGGAGGAAGTCAGAGACCCAGAATCCACTTCAGGAGATACATGTATGACCTTTGTTCCTCATGTGCTCCATGTGTTACTTTACTAATTCACAGTCTGTTTCTGTGGGCAACAGGATGACTGTGACCTCCGACACTGCTGTCTCATTACAAATCCACACAAACATGACGTGTATATTTATACATTATGAGTTTTCCCTAAAATCACAATGTTTCTAACTTGAGCCAAACTGGTGGATCTGAAAATCCATCTAAACAAATGAGTCAAACTTCACCCAAAAGAGCATCAGTGTACAAAGGTTTGCATCATCTATACAACAGTATAAAATGTGAAAATATGTTTCATATTTTTGAGTCTCATGGGTCTGTTTATGAAAAGTAATCAGGTCTCAACCCAGCAAAGTTGTTCAGGATGTTTTGCTGGTGTCAAAGGTCAAAGCAGTTTAAATCTGACCTGAACAGTGTGTCAGGTTAAAGAAAAGTTGAAGAGGTTGTCAAACTTCTCAGTGCAGGATCAGAGAGAGAGAAATACCTGAGACGTTAACAGTTTGTACAATCTGTTAAACTGGGTAAGATTGGTTTACAAACTAAAGAAATGTCAGACAAAGAGATGATTTTTATACAAAGTGTTTTCCAGTGGACTGTACTTAAAGAAGAAAAAGTCACATGAAGTTAATAAACAATCACACCAACATAAAATAGTTAATTTGCCAAACCTGAAGCTCCAACACTCACTGACTCTGAGATCAGAAATTCATGTAGTTTGTAACACAGTTTGACTTTGTGTCAGTAAATCTCATGAACAGCCTGAAGATGAATAAACTGTAGTTCAGAGTCACTGACAGCACAGACACACACTGTTGGTCCGAGTCTGAACATGATGATCAGCAGAGTCGACTGCTGGATGTTCAGGAGAGTTTCTGTCTGTCCTCAGATCGTCCGACTCACAGTTCATCTCTGTGTCCTCCTGTCTGACCTGCAGGTGAGAAACAGCTGTGAGGTGTC